CGTGGGTCTTCTGCAGAAACACAGCCTTGGCAAATAACTGTCAATGAGGACTTAACAAGGTCCTGTTATATGCAGTGTGACCTGATATATGCAATATGGGGGTACAAGTGGGCAGAGTGGGTACGCTCCAGGTCTCTTCAATTAAATGTTGTCACCTCACAGGGCTGAATAAGCCCTCTGGAACAGCACCTCCTGGAGATATGCATGGTTCCCACTCTTCAAGTCTCTTAAGACCTGGCTTTGTTCCCAGCCTGGGGTTAGGGTGTTTGTGGAACAAAATTGTTGTGGCACTTTTTTTTCCTGGATGTTATTTATGTGTTTTTGTCCAGGTGGTCATGTTCCTTTTCAATTATGTAGTCTTTTAAATACGGTAAGTCGCTCAAAGTTTTTTGGGAGTCGGGCAGCCTCAAAATCCAATAAATTGAATTGTATTGTACTGAATTTAATTGAACTGTAAACATAATCTTGGGGTGAAGAATGTGAATACAGGAAAATAATCTATATCTTTCCATACTGGCAAAGTGTTTAGGATACTACAGTAGGATCTGGGACTGCAAAACTGAAGTCTACACTCAACTATCAAAGCTCACTGGATTACTTTTGGCCAGCCACTACCTTTCAGTCTAATCTATTTCAAAGTATTATTGTTATGGAAATGAAAACAGAACTGGGAATCCTATTTATGTCACCTCAAACTCCTAAAGGAAAAGGGAGATATCAACCTAATAGATAAATGAACACATAAGTGAATATTACCTCCCACAATCCTTTCTCTTAGCTATATTAAGCTAAGAAGTGACACAAATAGTATCACTCTATTACCCTTTTATATACACAGATCAAGGTTTCTATTCCTACCCACTAATTCACACATGCCAGCTACCTATATGAACTTAAATTTCTCATGTCTAAACTTGATATACTAGTCAACACACAACACTGCTTAATTCCAACTGTTCCACTGCAGAGGAAACAGAACAGCTTCTGAGTGAGTTGAGATTGTACTAAAATACCTGAAAGTTTGGAATAGGGTTGATTGTTGGCAGCCATGCAGATCTTGGATTTTCCTGGTATCGGAAAGGTCCATTAAAGGCTTGCGTAATAGCACTGAGATTGAAGGCACACACTGCTGAAGCAGCAATACTGTTTCTAGACACAAGGACAGAGGCGAAGAGAAAGAAAGAAAATCAATTTAATCTTTGGAACATTGACACTTTCATCATAACAGACATCAAATCTCAGGAAAATAAATGGCACATATATTGCCAAGAAGCAGCACCCAAGGCTACAGGCCTCAGAAGGGAAGAAAAGAATCTACATGGATGAGATGACAATTAGGAGATGTTGAAAAGCCCCTCCTGAGCACCTCATGTGATTTAAGACTGGGAAAAGCAATTTTGACATGGAAAGTCACACACAGTTTAATTCACAAGGAACATTAATACTGATAACCCATCAATCCTGATTGGTGGTAAGTGGGCTTAATTTTTAAACCTCTAGTTTATTTTTCAAGGTGAGATTTAATTTTAAGCTCCACAGGTTCCATTGCAAGACATTAATTCACCCTCTGACAAAGTCCAACCACGTCTATTAAAGGAGCCGTTCTATTTGCATAAGAGGCTCAAGACATGCCAGGAATAAGGAAATCAGAACTTGTCTAATCTTTTGCCTAATAGTTATCTAATAGGGCTTCAGGATATGTAACTTCTGTGAAGAAACAGCTGAACACACTCCAAAATCCTAGGATATGATCTGATGAAACAGCACTCTGAAGCAAACCAAATCTGAGCAACAGTTGGATACCAAGGATCCTAAAAACATTGTTTTGATTTTTCCCAGCTTGTCCCATTATTCACTAAAAGTTTCTGTATTTTTGTGTACATTCCAAAAGCTTCTGGTATAGATTTCTGAATATCCGAATGACTTACAAAACAAAATCTCTACAGAGCCTCACTTCTTCCTCTTAAGACCAGCAGCCCTGTTAGCCTTACTAGGTAGACCAGACAGGAAACACAACCAAGTAAGCTAATTCTACTTTATTGTAAAGCTACATTAATAAAATCTTGCAAGTCTGAAAGTACAATTCTCCAGCCATCTCCTTTACAGCTCAAGAAACTAGGGAGAGTCCTTTTTGGGCCTTTTGCCCCACCCAGTATCCAGCTGCAGGCTATGCTGTCTCTCACCTGACTGTTCCCTTGGCAGCATCTCTTTGCCGTGTCTCCCAAGATCTTTCCCACATACCATTACAAGCCCTTTAGAGAGATGATGCTTTTTACAATATATTTGTATCTCTAGGAGTATACATTCAGTTTCCCTAAATGTAGATCAGTTACCAGTGAAAGCAAGAACTGCAATCACTTAATTGCGGTCTTTGTTTAATGCACATGACAATCATTATCAGATTAATAGTTCAGGTGAAAAGGAAACTACTCAGCCATTAAAACATATTATACAAGTGCATTTTCGAGGTATAGAAATAGAATGGAACTAACAGCAGTAATACAAAAGTAGATGAGGAAACCAAGCAAAATATTTGAAACAAGTCTTCAGCAGTGCTGGGTCTAGTTTACTTCTCTATATAATCTTCTCTTCCTTCTCTCTCTTCAACCTATCCAAGATAGGCTATGGTTATTCAAATGTAATATACAAAAAACTGAAGCTGAGATTTTATAATTTGGAGAGTGTCCATTTAAGACAAAGTACTTCTAGAGCCGAACTGAGGATTCAAAACATTTCAGTGTTATTTTAAGTGGTGGGGAGAAAGAGGACAAGCTTCAAAGAGGAATCAGGGAGTTCAAAATAGTTTTAAAAAGTGTCTAAAAACACAGAAGTCCCTTTCAAAACAGCATGAAAGACACTGTCATCATGCTGTGTAAATATCTGAATGATTGTTTTTCATATTGTGTCACTACTAGAAATAATTTGGACTTCTATGAAAAGAATGAATTTTTACTAAACTGGTAATGTCTTAACCATATGTATTCCAAGTTGTGAGATTTTATGCAGGAAACAAGTATTTAGGCAAAGTATTTAAAAAGGACCCCCTGATCCTGCCAAAAGGAAGGAGAAAGAGATCCTACTACATGGAGAAACAATTTAAACATCCATTTCTATTATTCTTACTCCATGATAAGAAGCATGAATGCTGTATGTGCGATACTTGTATTGAATTACTATCCTAGCAATTTCCACTATGTGCTGCAGAACCTTCTTATGAGTCTAACATTCTTCTCAAAGGGGTTAGACCACACTTCTGTGAAAATTCCACCAGGATCATCAAAATCATCTTAAGAACTTTCTTGAGCTGAACCTGAGCAGAAGATTCTTTCTTCCTCTTGCCAGAGCAAAAACAGTCCTTAAAAGAGTAAGCGTGCCTGTTTGCTTTCTCCTCCAGCCATCCTCCCATTCTACTGAGCAATGCAGCAGTTGGCTCTGAATTTGTCAAAGCACCACATGATGAACCTTTCCTCGCAGCTGCCTAAGTGTTACTGACATGTTGCATGTTCACAGAAGGCAGTTCTTTAGACAATGCTAATGACAAATGACAACCTAATGCCTTCAGGCAAAAGAGGAGAAGCAAAATAATAGTCTAAACAAAACTGTGCATGGATAGAGGGTGGAGTGGGGTTCCTAAAGCAAGCCATTGAATGTTTCACAGCAAATTTCATAGCAGAAGTTCATCTTTGGATTATTCAATAGTTTTATGCCTTTGGATCTGGCATATTGGGCCAAATAAAAACCCTGTCAGCACGCGCAGCAGTTGTGCACTGAAAAATGTGGAACCGAAGCTTGCAAGGGTGCCTACTCTTAAAATAACTGTCTCAGAAACAGATATTCAGCTGATTCAAGCATTCTAAAATTTCAAGTGAAAAAGACATGCAGATGTATAAATGTAGTGTTATAGTATGCAAAGCATTCCAAAACATTTTACTGTGTAGCTCCATATTATGATGATTAAAACATTTGTTTTTTTCAATACTAAACGTTTATCATTCCAATAAGGTTTCCAAGGTCAAATAAATGCTTATATCAGCTGTCTTATGGAACTATAGGAAGTGAAAGTACTTGGAGTGAGAAAGAATCTGTTTTCAGGATTCTCGACATTGTTATGAAACTACACTTCTTGAGCAAATCACCTGAAATGTGATGTCTCCATATAATTTAGTTTTCCAGACCACAAGGAACCTATTTTCTCAGATATACTAATAAGAATATGAAGAGCAAGGCTGGCAGTAGCTGCTATATCAACCTATGATAGCTAAACTTTTATCCTCTAAAATCAACTTCGGCAGCACGTTGCCTCCAAAAACCGCACAGCCTTTAGAGCAGGGTTTCTCAACCTCAGCAACTTTACAATGTATGAACTTCAACTCCCAGAATTCCCTGCCAGCATGCAGGGGGAATTAAATACATAAAGAGTTGTCATACAAGCTTTATCTAATTTTATTTAATATTCCAATTCAAATATGAAGGAAATCAACAGTGGTTTTTATCCTAGCCCTACTACTACTATTTGAGGAGAACAGTTTTGGAGATACTTTTTGGAAATCAGCATGCCTTTCGAAAGCGAAATGCCAAGTAAAGTTGCATTCCCTGACCCTATGTAATGGCTCTAAATCATTACCCCTTCAGTAGAAGAATTCTCCTAGCATTCTCTTCATTGAGATGAAATTGTCAATTGGCCAATGTAAATACAAAGCTACATAGGCAATACCATTGCACCAAATTAATTTATTTTGCAATACATTTTGCAATAATGTATTGTAAAGAAAAGCTCTGAGAATGAAGTCAGAAGTGAGAAAGCTCTAAACGTATAGAAAGAAGTTCAAAAAGAAAAATTTCTGATATACTTCTCTTAGGTTTTGTCCACTGTGTAATCACATTTATACCATATAAAATTTTTATTTTATACAAATAAAATACCATATAGATCTCTGAAGAACTGGCACACTAAATGAGAGTGACAGGTTGTTGGGAAAGCAACGGACACGCCGAAACCACAGTATGTCCCTCCTCAACATTTATGGGTATATTTGATCACTGCTTCATTTAAAAGGCAGACTGACAATGTATTTTCAGGCCCACCAATGGTTTAGAGGCTGATGAGAAAACACATCATATCCAGAAGCTTTTAAATAGGTTTCAGTGACCATTCTGGAAACTTTAATAACAACCGTTTAAATATTTCATAAGCTGGTTCCCTATATACCTATTTTTTCCTGCTGACTTAGCTCTAGATTATGCAACAGTGAACAATAAATCAGAATATAACACGTTTTTCCACAATGAAGTGCACCAAACTGGCTGATGCCTGTTTTGTTTTTGGATTTTTGGGAAATTGCTACTGACCTCATTAAGTGAGAGCTTCAAGATTTGGAAGTATAGATCTATTTTCCTCATCCTTGAAAAGCAAGTATGTTTTAAGATACAAATAAGGCACCTTTAATGTATCAATCATACTACTGGAGTGAACGTAAGGCTTATTTATATGCAGAAAGCATACAGCACGACACAAGTCCTGATAGAAGTTAAAAGAATAATTACCATTATTTGTCTAGATGGCTGACAAATTGGAACCTTTTTCCCTTCTTTGAATATTTGAAAGAACATTTGTCACAGCACAAAGTCCTTATTTGATCTAACTTCAGCTATTATCAATAATAATTTGAAGGTGCTCTATAATGCTTTCTTCTTCCCAGGTTAAAGAAAAAAATAAGTAATTGCATATATGCTCCTTTTTTCCTACTAGCAAGAGTGTAGTCTAAACAATTAAGGGCGAGAGGGAGAAAAATACATTAGCTTCTACGTATACACTGAACAATGAAAGAAACACACTGTTCCCTGATTCATTAGAGATATTAACCCCAGATAGTTACAAAATTAGAACCCTCTCCAGCTAATCATACCTCAATTTAATACATCAAGATATGAACAAGCTTTGTGTTTTTCCATATTAGCCAGAGCTTTTTTTGGGGAGTAATTCACAGATAAATCAGACTATAATTTCCAATTTCATTCATTCTAGAAAACCATAGTTCATGACTTTGGAACTAGCCGTAACAAGGGCCTTGTGTCAAACCTTGACTTTATTTATTAGCTTTTCTGAAACCAACAAGTTTCCCAGTTTCCCATTTGAACAAAGCAGGAAAATGTTAACTGAAGACTTCCTGCCTTGTCCACTCATTCCAGCAAACAGCATAGTGGATATGCCAGAAAACATAAGAATCATTCATATCTCAGCTTTATATATGTATGTTCTCATTAGGCATTTTACCAACTTCCTCCTCTGAATTTATTTTTAAATTACCTGCTGCAATTGCAGCCAACCCATTCACTCCAAAACCCCTGATTATTTTCTCCACAGCAAGTCTTTAAAGCAGCTGAAGGAGTGAGAAAAATTGCAGATTTTTTGGCATACTTTGGTCTGTTTTTTCAGTCAGTCAGTTCTATAAAAGTGCAGTTAAAACATGTGCATGCATGGAGACCTTTTCCATGAGCACGACAATGTAGAAACCACGAAAGAACATGGGAGCTGCAAACTTGCATAAGTGTATTTCTTATACACAATTACCTACGTGAGCAGGTGTATCCGCATAAGCAAGCCTTGGCACAGGAAGGCCAACTCTATGGTGACAATCTTTAATAGTGTCAGAGATTATTAAAAAGGTACAAAAAACAGGCAACTAAAGAAAAAGGTTACAAAGCCTGCTTTATGAAAAATGGTGTCCCCTGCACATAATTACATTTCTAAGAAGTCATATTCTCCAAAAGAAACGAATTCAGATGATTACAGTAGGAAGACATCCATCAATTGATGTCTAGACAGCATTATTCTGCTAACCATATGATAATTCTTCTATTTTTATGCAAAAGAAAGATGACCATAAATCTAAGCAACTTCTCTCAAGGTAAAGTAGAATGAATGAATTTATGAATGAACTAGAGAACCTGTGACCTGCTGGGTCATTGTTTCAGATATATTTCTTTACCTAAACAGAGAAACAGAATGACCAAGGGCAAAAAAGCAGTGGGAGTGGGAGGGACTTGCGACTTGCTGCTGGCTTCCCCATCGACTTTGCTTGTGGGAAGCTGGCAGGGAGCATCAGAAATATTCCTTCCTTCCTTCCTTCCTTCCTTCCTTCCTTCCTTCCTTCCTTCCTTCCT